AGCAATTAGCACTAACTTACTTTTTCCTCTTTATAGTCACAGGGGCTTGACTCTGCCGAATAACAGGGTGAAGATGACTTTAGTTTGCTCGCTTTAGGAGTGATCTCCATCGGTGAAACTTACTTACACTCATGTAAACTGACGGCTTTTTGGGCTTCGGTACAGCAGTTTAACTTAGCTCTCTGTGTTAAGTTAGCCAAACACGTATTAGTTAATGACTTACTTTTCCCTCAACAAACAGAAAAAAACGCCCCTCTAAACCCCAAACTAGCACAAGAGCTTTAAAGAGTTTTCTTAAACGCTGTCGCAATAACTACTGAGCAGCCCAGTTTTCACAAAACACTGACTGAACTGTAAAACCTGAAGCGATGCGAGATTTTTGTTTTTCCGTATTTTTGCGGCACAAAACCCTCGAGCTCAGCGATTGGACAGAATCTGGTGACGTATTTACCGAAGAGCATCTTGGGAGCTGTAGTTGTTGGTGGCACAAAACTATAACTTTACAAGTAGATGTTTTTATGTTATTTCTTAAACTCTTTGTTTGGGGTTTTTTCACCTGTTATTTCTAGAATTGTTAAAATTATAATAAAAAAAAGACTTTTGTGGCAGCTGTGATGGAATAAAACTACTGTTTCTAAGCTTAAAAAACTTGAACAGTAACTAAAGATACAAGCCATGTGTTTATTATAACAAAACAAATGCAAATCAAATAATGACATTAAGTGTATTAGAATAAACTAGGATTTTTCTTTTAACATAGAAGACACTATTTGGCAGGGCTGTTCTAGTGAGATTAAATTCAGACACTTCTGCGGAAAACGGTAGCAGAAAGTAGAGGTAATTTTTGTGGGCTTGTGGTCAGTTCAACTGTTTCTTGTTACCCTCGTTGCTATGGTCGAGTCATATTGTGATTCAGCTCTTCTCATCAGTTGATTCACCCCTTTTAAGGGACTTATTTATAACCCCTCCTGCCCGATCCAGTCATCGGTTGTTTGAGGCCGTTTTCACACTCGTGCTGTCTTTTTTTCTTTCTCCTTTTTTAAAAATTGTGTCTTTCTATAGCTGTGGGGTGAAAGGTGTGAATTAAAACGTGATCCTGCTTGAACTTGAACATCAGCACTTGGCAGGGTGATATTACACACCCCAGGGAACTGGGGATTTTTTGCATTTTACACGGATGAATCTTGCAGGGCTGAGAGATAAAGATAATTACTATGTGTGCGTCAGTAGACTGTTTTCTGTGCTTCTTCTTTTTTTTTTATATCCTTTGAATAGCTGACATAAACTACTGTGCTTGCTCCTCAGCAATAAGACATGAAGTATAGCAATAGTGTGGGTTTACAGAATCTAGAGGCTACGTGAGACAGTGAGTGGAGGTGCCAGGTCTTTCATGAAACACATGCCAAGCATTCAAAAATACGGCTTTGTGCCATGTATGTGCAGGCAATTGATTCCTGTCAATGCACATATATGGGTCAGTGGTAAGACGTTACTTTCTACTTTACGTCTAATGCTGTATTCTCCAGTTGTTGAGCAATGTGTCGGGAAGAATATTCAGCTTTTTTTCCACCTTTTATTGCTGGAGGAGATGTGATTATCGCATGCACAGACTGCAGTGGTGCCATTTGATTTTGTTGGCTGAGAAGGTGGTTTGTATTTTGGATTAGCAGGTTATTTTAATTTCCACATGATACTCTATCTAATCTACTGTTGCGGTGTGAAAGTCTTCACTTTATCATGGTGCCAGTGTGTCTCATCTGCAAATACATCCATGTAAAACTCTGTAAACTAGATTTTGGGCCTATCTGCAAGAGACAACAAAATGTCCTCATAATGCAGCATCTGCTTTAGATGACAGCGTTTGTCGGTAGTGCACATTCATAGAAAATGCAAATAATGACACCGAAAACCAGCTGGCATGCAGGGAACTTGAGTCGTTTTCAACTCCTCGGTGTTTGATATGGTAGACATTCTTCCCAGCAGACATTCTGACTTGTCATAATAAGAAACACACAGTTGCTATTAATATAATTAAGGAAGGCAGTGCGACAGTGACTCAGCATGTGCAGCCCCCCCAGAAAGTGAAGCAGCTAAATGGAGCTCAGCATAAGTAACTCTATTATTCACACCTGTGCTTTTCTACTATAAAATGGCAAAATGTCCGCTCTGAAAAAAAAGGCCTTTAACTTAAAAATAAAGTGCTTTCGAAACAGCAGTTTGACCTTGAGCCTGATGATTGTTGGGCCAGTTGGATGAGTGTGGTTATTGCACAGCTTTTCCGAATGAATGAGAGATCTGTGCTCCTTCACGGTCAAAGACTTTAGCGTTGACCACCTACATCAAAGCCTGAAATCCTTTTAGAAAAAAAAAGATTGTCTTTTCATGTTGCCATGCTTCTCTGTGTACTGAAGCTCTTTGTGTTAATGTTGCAATAATGCTCTGCAACTGGAAACTGTTTTGATTTATTTCCTCAATTAACTTTACATTATGTAACTGATCACATGGGACCGTTTGTGCTTATAACACAAAATCTGTTTTACCAACATAACAGAAACCTCTAAACTCACTGTGTCTATCAAGTTTAAGTTCAAAGCCCCTCCTAATTCATTTCTTCTTCTGTGGCACTCCTTATACTTTTTTCCCACCTCTTTTAGAGCAGTTTTCCTGTGGGAAAGGAGCTGGAGCAGGTTGCTTTGGCATTTTTTTTCAGTACCACTTGTTATTGTCAGAATTAATGAAAATCACCACTGAGAGATGGTGTTTGATGTGTCGGAAAATTCAACACAACGCAAAAGCTAATCAGTTACAAGATAAGATAATTAAATCAAATCAAGTTTATTGTCATTTTGCTGTACATACAGCAGTAGTACAAACAAGATGAGGGAGCGTTTCTTCAGGATCCAATAACTAAAAGCAAAGATGAGATGAGATGAGATGAGATGAGATGAGATGAGATGAGATGAGATTAGGTACAACAGAGTTGGATAAGATAAGCATTTAATTATCTATCAGCAAGAGAATGCGCAACTATGTATGAAACATCAGTGGAATTTTTTTTTTTAAAGTAAAGAAATATACACAAATATTGTTGTTATTGTACAAATCCGTCCATATGTGGAAATTCAGACATTACACAGATTCCTCTGAGTGTGGAAAGTATTGATATTGCACATATCTATGTGTAGTTGTTATATATACAGATGTATTTAAAATTGACAGTTATCTTCATAAAATGTCCCTAAAGAGCCTTCCATGTTTCCTACAGGCAAAGCTGATGATAGCAAATTGCATGTTTTGTCTGATCAGCACTCAAAACCCCAAAATGCTCAAATAGCCATTATACCAGGCAAAGAAAAGCAGCAAATCCTCTCAGTTTAGAAGCTTGTACTGAAAAGTTTTTTTCAATTTATTATTATTTTAACTTGACACCGACTTCAACAATGAATCAGTGTTCCAAATAATGACTGCTTATTTCTAACCTAATTGTTTCAGCTCGAAAATATTCCAAGTGCAAACAAAATCAGATGACAACAGCTTCAGAAATAAACAGTTACACACTCTCTTCAAAATGTGTCTGCACTTTCTCTCAGCGGAGCGTCCACAGATGAAGCATGCTCCTGGACTTTATTTATTATAGCAGAGCGGTCTATCCTAGAACACAGAGTGACGTACTTTTACATGATGAACCTGAGCTTTATGTCCAATGTGTCTGTTCCCTGCAAATCATCTTTTACGGTTCACAATAAACAAACTGGAGAGAAATCATGCCTGCAGGCTGCTTCACCTTTCAGCTACTTACAGATTCCTTCACAACCCGCAGTTACAAACAATATTTACTCAATCACTGCTGAGATTGTCGCACAATGTTGTCTGATTTACCCGAGGACAACTTGTGGTTCCTCTACAACATTCTGCTGTGTAGATTCATAGAGAATCATTAGTGTTCATGTCACATTAACTTGATAAACCCAGAGTGATTAACAAGTATTTTGTCATGTAATGTGCTTCTTTTGAAGCTGCTGCCCCCTCGTTCTGGCAAAATAATGAAGCCTTATCTGGAGAAGTTGTCATCCTAAACACTAACAGGAGTGTGTTTCATCCAAAAAGGGCCTCACAAGGCAGTCAGCTCCTTCTTTTTCTTGTATTTTTTTTTGCTTCTCCCCACCCTCCTGGTTGCTTTCCGTTAAGATTTGGCATTATTCAAGCTCGCACATAGATGTGAGCGGAGAGAGCAGCTCCTCCTCCCGTTACACTGTCCTTGGGGCCATTTGTTTTCCATCATTTGAACAGATTAGAGTCATACTCTGCCGTGAGTCATGCTGGGTGGGTGGATGTCTGCACAGGGTGTGGTGGGTGAGGGAGCCTACTGGTGCTTGCGGCTGCCAGTGGAGGAATAAAGCGTCTAATTTGGCTCAAAATTGCAGAAATGTAAATGAATGGATGCTTTTTTATATCATTATGATCATACAGTTTGAAAAAAAAAAAGCCTCTCATTTAATTTGGGGGGAGAGAGTGCATGTGGTAGATAAGGATGCATCTTCTGAAGACTTGTCACATGAAAGCTATCAGAAGTCCTAATCTGAATAGTAAACAGGAAAAAGCAGAAACCGATCCACAGACAGCTGCACAAATGTGCTGAGTCTGCGCAAAGGTTGCTCTAAAAGTTACTTTGAGGAGGACTTGGTGAGAAAAAAAAAATATCTGCCTGTGTTGTAAAATACAGTTTGGTTATGTAATAACACAGGGGCTGTAACCATAGCTTATAGATTAAATACTGCGTTTCTCCTTCCAATGTGCGCGCCAGATGTGATCCAGCTGCGGCAGGATGGATTCGCTGCGCACAATAGATCAGCAGACCCTGAAATAGCTGCACTCCTGTCCAAAAAGCATCAAAGGAAGGGAAGAAAAAAGAAAGAAAGAAAGAAAGAAAGAAATCCCACCTCCCAAAATCACTCCTTTTCCACCTCCTCCTCCCCAAAAAAAGTTTGGTGACTGAAGCAGCGAGCAGCAGAAGCAGCAGGAGGAGTTCATCACTTTTCTCTTCTTTCTTTTTTTTCACAGTCGACTATCTGTGTCTGCGGGGCTGAGACTGACGGCTTAATTGGTTCCCTGAGGCGCTGTTTTCTTTTTTAAATTCAGCTTTCCGTGCCGTCTACTACACCTGCCTGCCAAGCTGCAGCGCTGATGGGCGCGGCTGGGACCGGTGCCCAAATCTCTGTTTTGACTTGCCTGGGAAAGTTGAGCGAAAAGGCACAAAAGGACCGAGGAGTTTAAGAACATCCCTGCAAGACGCGTCAGCCTCACATAAACTTATTGTTCCTCCAGCGGATCATCCTGAGAGGAACTTCTTCATTTGTTCGAGCTGGCTGAAGGTAGGATGCGGATCTATACGCTGGAATAACCTGGAGACTTTAAAAAAAGAAAGAAAAAGTTGTTTATGCTGGATGTTGCGGATGTTTCTTCTTCTTCTCACCTGCCTGCTGCATCTCTGCACTAACAAACTGCACTCTGGGAGTTTAGGTGATGGGCTGTCAAGTTCTTTATTTTTTGATTTTATGGGCTTGGGTGGCTTTAAGTCCACTATACTCCTATAAATCTTCCACAAGTACTTCTTGGCTTGTTTGCACAATCCAGTGGGGGGGATTTTTCTTTTTTTGTGGGGATCATTATCTGTTACTGTGATCTCAGGATAGTTTTACATCTATTTACATCCATCTAAATATACTAGAGGAACTGGCCCTGCTGTATCCAGCTCTATTTATCAGCACCCTTTTCTATTTGTTGTTCATATCAGATAACTTCATAAAAGTTTTTAACGAGATGGTCAGCAGGAGCGAATTCATTGGGGATTACTGGTTTCCACTGTTTGCTTTTCTCATAGCTGGAGATGGTTGTTGCACTTTACAAGATTGTGATTTGGGCACCACATGATTAGAGAGAGAAAAAAAAGAGAGTCTTTGTGGAGGTGTCTCTGCTTTTTCTTTAAAAGAAAAGAAAACGTTGTGCAGGAGATGAAGCACATGCAGTTAAAGGTCCGTGGCTGGTAGGGTGTGGTGAGGAGGATGGTCTTTCAGAGCTGTGCACTGATCCGCCAGCCTGCTTTTGTTCCTTTGTTAGTTAGGTTGTTTTTTTTCAAAGGCAGAAAAGTAATTACAAAGTCTGTTGAAATCTATAGATCGCAGCTTTTTCTTGTGACCACTTCTCACATGAGAGTTACACGTGTCTGGAGAGTTTCTTCTTAGGTAACAGTTCAATGAGTTTCTCTTCTTTTTTTTTCTTTCTTACCTGGATTGTTTTTAGGCCTGTTGCTTTCTGTTGTGGAAGCGAAAACTGTTAAATTAAAGTATGAGACTGCGGTTTTCCAAATGTGATCATGAGAAGGATGTGATGAAATGTCTTCAGCGGGATAAAACTCCCAATTAGTGCAAGTAAACAAGCGGCCTCTCCTTTAACCCGAGTCATTCCAGGCCTAACTTTTTTTGGCCTTTTCCCATCAAATGTTTGCTAAAACTCAATTTAACCGCAGCTGGCACAGAATATGCATGACCGTGGTCGATGTTTTATCACCAGATAAGATGGGATGGACGAGTTAACGAGGCAGATGGACATCTCGGGAGAAAGGGGTGAGAGTTTTGAATTTATTCACCAAGTCTTAAAACTGCAAATCGAAAGAAACACAAGTCAAAGGGTCAATTTAACCGAAACACGCGCGAAAAACCCAAAAAAGCTGGAAGTTTGAGGGTATTTCAGCAAAATCTGCCACCGAAACTGTTGAATTTACTTTTGTTTGTGTTGCTAAAAGCAGAAGCTTCTCTAAAAACCTCATTTCCACAGACCTCATTGCGGCAAGAGATGTAAAAATATGAGCCTAATGACAGATTGGTGTGGAATTAAATGTGCATTCAAAAACCTAAAAAAGTACACAGTTTTCTTTGAGTCCTTCATCCTGGTGATGGTGGTGTCTCTCTTTTTCTGGGGGCTTATTATCACTAACGTCCTGGCATGACTTTACTGGTGTCAGTTTCCATTTCTCAGGGTGCAAGTCATCCTCCGGGTTTTCCTCTTCTAGTCACAGCTAAATGTCAAGCTCATCCGGGCCTGAAGACTTTTAAGGCGACGAAGGATGGAGAGGTCAAACGAAGGCTGATTATACGTTTGACACGAACCGAGAGAAACATATAATCAGCCACTCTGTCCTCTTGTTTTATATGTCACTTTTAAATGAACGCTAGCAAAATTTATTTATGTCGCACTTTCTTAAACCGGTAGTTAAAATATGCTTTACAGAAGAGACAGACAAGATAATGTGGTTTGGAGGAGCATAGAGAAAAAGCTGAATTTGAGCATTTTAGGATGCTCTTTGTGCAGCTGGGACTTTTGTTGGAGGCTTCTTCAGAGTCGAGGAACAACAGCAGAACCAGCGTGATCAGGTTTAGTTGTTTTTGGACCCTGAAACAGACAGAAAACCCTAAAAGGGAAGGAGTGAGGAGGTGAAGGAGGACAGGAGTGAGGAGGCTGCGTGAAATTGAAGTGGAATTTAAATGATCTACAATTGAAGGCAGTAAAACTCAACAGGCTGCAGCTAGAGAACAAAACGCCTCCTGGTTGAAGAGGGGTGTTATTAGAACCAATTATCTGCACCCATAAATTACACAAACTTTAATTGAATCTGTTTTTTTTAATGCAGTAAAGACTTTCACTTCTTTGCCTCTGTCTGGTTTAAAACTAAAGAGGCTGACTTGAGGAGAACGTTTTGGACTTAAGAGAGAACATGTGGAAGAGGAAAACCCAAGTTGACGCTGAAGGTTGATCGAGGACATTAGCAGAAGTCATGAGATGAAAATAAAAAAATCTTAGCACAAAGATCCAGTTACTGAAACGTTTCTGGATCAAAAATAGAGTTTATTTATCTGTACGCTTTATTAAATCACCCTCGGGACTCGTCTCTGCAGATAAAAGCCTTCAGATGCGCATGAAGTTTATGGGAACGTCCAATAAATTATTCTCGTTCTGAGAAGTTTTTGTCAGTAAAAATCAAAACCGTGACGCCCCCAGAACAGACTGACATGCCATAAATACTGTCTTTCTATACACTCGCTTTAGTAACTTCACCTGCAGCATGTGATTTACGACATATTTGCCATTTTGATAAGATTTGAACCGTCTCAACCGATTCGCTTTGACATTTTGGCGCCAGTTTATTGGGAATCACATGCTGTCAAGGGTTTCAGAGTTTAACTAATGGCTTTAATAGTGGTTAATAAATCTTTTAATGCTTAAAAAAAATCCATTGTAAGGCACCGACAAGAGCAACATTTGCGTGAAAACGTTCCCAGTTGGTGACGTTAACAGTCAAGTTCCGTGAAGTTTGTTCATGAGAAGTTCTATCAGTCTTACTTCCTAATTGTATTTTAAGTTAGAAAAGGTTTCTGTTTTAAAAAATAGCCATAACCAGAGGGTTTTTCTAATATTTCCTTCAACTCAGAAACCTTAAGCTGTTTTTTAACAGTTTATAAAAGGATCTTCTTGCTGGAGGAGGATAAAAGCCAACCTGGCAACCCAGACATAACTCTTATTAAGGCCCCATAACCAATAAAAACAATAAAACACGACTAAATGACGTATCTTTGATTTAGAAAGCCTCTAGCTATCGTATGAAGTTGTTTTATTTGTCCAGAAATTGCAGCAAGACAACTCAAGACGTGAATTCAGATCGAGACACGCATAAAGTCGCTCCCGTCTGTTAGCCGAGATTAACATGTCAGAGTTTAAATAATGAAGTTTGATGTAGCAACAAGCAGCTCGATGCATGGATGAACAGGAACCCAGTGTACACAAGGGTAATTATTTCTCTTTTCAGCAGTTGTGACAGAAACCGTAACCACCACAACCAGGCTGACTTCTCTCCCACCAAGTGAGTCTTTTCTGTCCTCCAGTCGTGTTTGCCTTGATTATTGTCAGTAAACTAGAAGTATAATGCAGTAATTATAGCTCTTAAGGAAGTACCCCGATGAGTAAGAGCTTCTCCTTGTTTTGCTGTGTGTCTTCTCGTTGCTAGAGGGAACCAGCGGATCAAATCACAGGAATATGTCCAGCAGTGCTGGAGGGCTGGGCTTGGAGAAGAATGTCTTAACCCAGAACAGCAGTGGAACTTACTTCTCTACATGTGAGAGCGACTTTCCATTCATGGGCCAGAACTGGGAAGTTGTGGCTTTGTCTTCGGACAGAGTTATGAAATGTCCAACGCTGTATTTTTAACTGCGAGTGGAGAGAAAGATGTTTGTGCTTTATGGAAGTTTAAGGAACTTCTAGGCAACTGTGGAGAACGTGTTGTACTGATCTTTGCTCGAGTGAAAGCAGCAGCTTGTAGAAATGCTCCGTTATAGATAAAAGTTCTAAATTGAGTAATAAATGTACACAAAGTAAAAGTTACTCAATCCAGTAAACATGGATGCTCTCATGAGCCTGATGCAGGATTTTACTGATGTAGCTGGTGGAGTTGGAGCAAGTTTACTTTACTTACACCTGAAATATGTTATATTTTAATGCCACTTTATACTTCAGCTCCACAACGTCTCATGGAGAGGTACTTCCCTCCTTTTATTACTCTCCTGAGATTATTTGACTGATGCTTTACAAGTTAGGACTCTTTTACACAAAATTTAGGAAGAAATTGTAAAATGTAATGCTTCGTTACTGACAGTTAGTTGAATATTTAATCAGTCAGGTGAGGTTTAATGTAAAAATATACCAAAGTTTGATTGTTTTCAATTTGTCAGATGTGAGAATTCGCTCTAGCTTCAGTGTAATTACTCTCTGCAGTTTGTAAACACGTTCGTTTATGCTTTAAGTCAGTTGATTTTAATGAACTGCTGGTGATGCCTTGTGCACAATAAGTGAGCTCAACATGCAGCAACATACAATGCGTCAACTGATTTGCAGAAAGTTAATCATGTGCTGCATGAAGAGCAAAGCTGCAACAAAAAAAAAATCAACATTTAGTTGCGTTTTTATAAATTTTCCCTGAAAAATCAATGATTTTTTACAAAATAATGTAACAAATTAAGCAACTGTCTCCATTTTTACCTATAAATAGAACATGATAGAATTTTAGAATTATGATTTTTGCAATAATCTATATTTTAATATTTATATTCATAGAAATGGTCTCATGTTTTCTGATGTTTTGTATCAGAAACAAGCTGTCAGCAAGTTTTTTGCAGTAAAACATGCAGTATTTCCTCTTAAAACGTGGTGGAGCTGAAGTATAAAGTCACTCATGTCAAGCACAAACAACACAAACGCTTCCACGTGACTCCGACACATTCGTGCAGAGACGACACAGTTGCAGGAAATGAATAATAACTCGTATGCACGGTGTTTTTTCAGCCGCTGTCGGCGTGAACGGCGGTAGCTACAGCTCCTCCTCAGGAATCTTCGCCGGAGGAGACTCCTCGGGAGGAGGCGAAGGTGGAGGGAGCTACATAGATGGAGAAAGCTACGGAAGTGTCAGCAGAGGAGGAGGTGGAGGAGGAGGAGGAGGTGGCGGAGGCGGCGGAGGGGGCAGTTATCTCGTGAGCTCCGTGACAAAGGTCCGGTCCAGCTCGTCGGGCGGTGCCAGGAGGACGCAGACCGCTGGCTCATCAGGAGGCCTGTCGCCAGCTTTCCGAGAGAGGAAGACCATATCCAGCCGCTCGGGAGGTTATGACGGTGAGATCCTGTCGGTGAAACAAGCGCATGACATGAAACAGAAGCAGTGAAGGAAGCTGGCACAAGTCAAGGGTGCAGTTTATACTTCAGCTTTAACTATTGTGTTTTCTTCTAGGGAGCTCCAGTGCTAACTCCTCTCCAGAATTTTCACGCAAAGATTATGGAAACTATTGTAAGTGAGAGTGACGGCTGCAGGATGTGGGGTTATATACTCTCTCAATGCCCAACTTCTGCCCTTCCTTACCTTAAATGACCCTGTGTTTTCCCCCCTTTTTTCTTTTTCCTCTCAGGCTCCAGCAGCACGAGAGGGAGGAGCGAGAGCAGAGGTATTCAATAATGCCCTCCTCCCTTCATTATTTCTGCACCATCTGACTCTGAATTGTCCGTGCTTTGCTTTTTTATTAAACCAGGATTCCTTTGTCCATTGTGTTGTGATTATTTTTTTTCTTCCAGAGAGCGAGATCAGAGCCAGATTACAAAGTGCCTCCCCGACCGCCTGCAGATGTAAGACACTGAAGACATGCTGTCCTTATGCAATTCCTCATAAAGCACCAAAGTATTTTTTCTTTCCGAGTGTGTTCATTCAAAGGACCACTTGGATTGAGGGAGATTTTTCCTCTGTGTGTGTGTTTTTTGAATTATGCTGCTGTCAAACGCTCTGGCTCAGACTTCAGCACATCGCAAATGCACATTCCGCTTCTCACATGCAAGTTTATGTCCATGAAATCTCAATTAGTAACACATGTGCCGTTACCTCCCAGCAGAAGATATACATCAGCAGGAGTGGGAAGGGGCGAGGTTTAAACAGGGACGAACACGCGTTTGTTTGCACCGAAACCACATGGAGGAGAAGTTGAGGGCCAAAATTTGCGGTGGTGGCAGCAGCGGCACACATGAGTCACTGCTGCGCCTCCTCGGTCGAAGCAAATCAGTGCGGAGCTGCTCATCGCCTCCCTCTGCTGGTTGAAGGGAATCATTTCTGTTATTTAATCCGCATTTTTCAACAGTTAGTCATGCTGTGCCACCTCCACCCCTTTTGGATTTCTGAGTTTTATTGACTGCAGTCAGTGGTGGAAGAAGTACTTTTACTGACATGCAAATAACAGAAAAACAACAGCAAGAGGAAGCAGAAGTGATGTGCTTGTACTTTTTATTGTTAATTCATAGCACTTCGAAGGGAATACTGCACTTTTTTTTTTTTATCCCACTGCATTAGTTCGACAGATAAACTTAGAAAATGTTCATACAAAGACACCCATGACTATATCACAGCTCCAGCTGATGAATGTTTTCATTGCTGATTAATCTGCTGATTGTTTTCTCAATTAATCGATTAGTTGTTTGGTCTGGAAAATGGCATAAAATGGCAACAACAGCAAAAAATTAGTTTCAACAGTTTCCCAAAGGCCAAGATAACGCGCTCATGTATAACATTTTGTACATAACCTAAAGAAATTCTGGCATTGAGGAGTGAAAAAAGAACAAATATATATTTTTTAGAAGCTGGAATGAGAGAATTTCTACTCATATCAGTTATCAAAGTAGTTGTAAATAAATGTATTAGCTGACAGGTAATTGATTGATCTATTAATCATTATAGTTTTACAGGATATTAAGTAGATATCATTAAAGCAGTAATACCAAATATTCATATTTATAGTGCTTTAGTGCTTCTTTTACTTACCTTAAAAACTGTATTTACTCAGACAGATTCCTGAATTTAAAATTTCTACTGAAGTAAAAGTGCTTACGTATTAAAAATAAAAATACTTTCACCACCATAAATGAAAATGCCATGAGCTACTGCCACATTTAAAATACTATTTTGTCATACATTTAGATTTTAAGGGTTTATGTTATTGACTACATTGGTGAGACAACAAACTAATGAGCAAAATGTAGCTTGTGAGCTTGATGCAAACAGCCTTTGGACATACAGACTGTAAATAATCAAAATAAAGGATTTTTTTCTTAAACAAAAATAGTCCAGAGAGCTAAAAATCATATTTTTTTCATTCTTTTTGTAATCATGCATCCTGTGAAGACTGTACAGGCAGAGAACAGTCTGTATGTCTTTAGACTTTGTGGGTTGTATAGCAGTGATATTTTGAGTAAAAAAAAAAATGAAAAGAAAGACACAAGGCCATAGTTTGCTGTCCTCAAACCATTTTTAGTAGTGGTCTGAGTGTCTGTCCTAATTTGTAGCTTGAAATTACATTCACTGACATTCTGTACTTCACATTTATTCCAGCAGACTTTCAGACTAAACTCACACATTGCAGTGAACTTCTCAGTGATGTGGCACTGTTGCGTTCATTGAGCTTTATTTATGCAAACTCTTGCAGGGACGGAGCTGGACGACGTGAAGAAGCTGCTGAAGGGACGCTCCAACAGCGTCAGCCCCACGCGCTCCTCCTGCGCCTCCATCACGCTGCCTGTCCCTAAGAAGGCCAGCGTGGAGACCAAGACCGTCTCGGTGGCCTCCCAGTCAGGTATCTACTGTTGATAGAGTCGCACACTTGTGCATACTGTACATGCACAGACAGGCTGTCTCCCTCACAAATAGCTTCAGGCGGTCTCAGATGCCTCTCATCCACCGATCCAAAGCATCTGGTTTTCTTTTAAGGGTAGTTTTTCTAATAACAGACGTTTCTGATCACACTTTTTACAATTCACCTGGAATCTGCAGTGGAAACATGCTGGAGTCCATTTTCTTAGCAAATGTGGAGGAACATGCAATATGTATAATAAAAGAAAACGTTGAAGGGAATTGTAAAATAAAAGTAATATAAATCTTCGTTGGGAAATAATGTCACAACAGCTTAAAAACCTTTTCAAGGGTCTAATGGAAGCAGATGTTCTCTATACTTTATTCTTTAAAACAGATGTTTAGCTGTGGCAGAACTTTGATGATAATATACAACATATTTGTCTTTGTGTCTTTTCTTTTCAGCAGTTTCCTCCTCATTTGGCTCTGGTGCCAGATCAGGCTTCAACACCATTGACATATCAGGCCTGTATGATAACGGTCTGACATCTGGCCAGCTTGACACTGGTGTCAAAACCAGCCAATATGACGTCACTGTGACGTCCGGCCAGTACGATACTGGTGTCAAATCCAGCCAGTATGATGTCAGTCTGAAATCAGACCGCTACGATACGGGTCTAAAGTCTGGACAATATGATGCCAGTCTGAAATCAGGCCAGTACGACACTGGCATGAGGTCAGGTCAGTATGACACGCTGGACGCCATTCTTCCCACTTTCTCGTGGTCCACGTCCACGCTGCCCTCCACCTCCACCACGGTCGTCGCTGGCAACACCAGCAGCTACTCCTACCAGGTCGGCACCAACAACATGGCGGGAGGCACCTTGCCGCTCAGCGCCACCTCGCCCTCGTCCCTGTCAGGTGAGAGCAAACGTCTACAAATCTGACCTGATGAGTTCACCTCGACTAGTGCTGTTTTACATCCAGTATGGACACAGGAATGATGAAAAAACACACACTATGATAAGTCTTGTAATATTTCTTCTTTGAACTTTACAGATCAGACCAGGGAAGCACAAAGGGGTTAGATAGTTTTCAAAAATAAAATCCAAATACAGTCAGAAACACTGGATCTTTTTTCCAGTTCTGAAGCAAAATGAACAGCTAGTGAACCACGAGCAGATATTTACTGAATTCTGCTGTTTTGGATTAGTGTCACTTACTCTACATTTAATTAATGCCTGAGAAACTGTCTGTAAAATTTATAAACATCAACAGGTCTGGAGGTTCATGTTGTTGAATCTAATTATTCAGATTCTATTCTGGTCATGATATAAATAAAATAACACAAACTGTATGTAGCGTTTAAAATCCACTTTCACTGATGTTTACTTTACAAATAAAGCTTCTACATCAAGTTAAACTGTATGTTTAGGAACTGCACCTCACATTTTGATTCTAGCAAACCAAAAACGAGGAGTTTCAGTTGCTCAAATGTGAAGAATATCTTTGAATTTTGGACTATTTGGCAGCCAAAACTAGAAATTTGCACACGTTTTATAAATTTAATGATGTGTCTTTTTTTTTTTTTTTTTTTTAAACTAGAACAATATAGAGCATCATGTTTGTTTTACTGTTACTTCTTAAATTTTTAAATTTATTTTTTTTCCATCTTTGCATGTCTATCTCCCATGTGTTTTACACTTTGGTGTTCTTTTTTTCCTTTGTCATACATGTGCTGTTTAATAATTTTATGTCATTTAACACCTTATTCCCCTTGGATATTTTTTAGTTTTATTTTTTAAATTTCCACCTGGAAAAACTTCCCTGAATTTTGCTAACAACAGCTAAAACTGTAGGACACAAATGAGCAACCTTTATAGAGAAGAAACATTTAAGTGAAATTTGAAATACAATAAGTGTCCTTGTCGCCATCATGTCAGTGAGATATGAAAAATATTGGAGAGAAACTGCAAATGAGAGAATAAAAACATCCTTAGAGCAGTGAGACAGTGACTAATAACTGGTGTTACTCTAAAATGATCATAGTAGCACCTCTCCAGTGACGGTGTCATCCTCAGCAGCCTTCCAAATACAATAAATTACCAGCTCAGGGGCCTTCATCAAATCTCTGCATCTCTGCTTACAGTTTACGGCTTTCAGAACAATCTGGCGCCCACCTCTGCCAGCGTCCTCACCACCAACGGAACCAATATCAACGCCAACCTCGGGGGTAAGACAAGTTTTCTGACACTTTTTTTTTCTTTTTTTAACAGTATCAAATACACTCAATAATAATTCAAAATCTTTCATCTGGGTGTTGCAGGATATGGTGTTCAGAAGAACGTGTCAAACGGCGGCACCATCATCAGCACTGGAGTTTCTACAAGTGAGTTCAATTCCTCCATCTGTTGAGAAGTCATCACAACTATCAAACTTGAATCATTCCTGAATTTCTCTCTTGTTTTGCAGCCGCTAGATCCCAAACTGATGATTCCTATAAGCAAGGCTACAAGTTCATTTTGTCTGAGAAGGAGAACGTTCCAGCCAAGAGGGACACAGAATTGCTCATTTTGGCAAAAGACAGCGGAAAGCAGTTCACCAGCAGCAGCAGCGTCCATGTAGGAGGAGGTGAGTCACTGACTGGCTGCCCCCTTCTGGACCAACGCTGAAGCTTCTCTCGTGTCAAGAGGGTTTCTCAACTTTCTTTGGATAGAGTTTTGAATTCTCTAGACAATTTGTAAAAGCAGGGTTTTGCAGTGTGTGAGTACTGTTTTTAAATGAGCAGAATATTGATCAGTTGGAGGCTGCAAAATCTTCTTCATCCTGATTTTCTGTTTCTAGGTTTTAAGTAAAAAGTCTGAGCAAACTCACCTGAATATGAATTTACCCTCAATAGCTTTTGTTATAGTTCAATTTATCATGATCAGATTAGTAAGATCATCAGCACCAACCTTTTTTTTTCCTCTTTCAACTTTCATTTTCTACTTTTTGTTGTTTTTGTTGTTTTCAGCTCCTTAAACACAGTAGATTTTTTTCTTTTTTTTTTTTTAAGTATCGTGAACATATTTTCTTCTTTTCCAGGTTCTCTGTCAGGAGATTCAATAAAGAAGGAGAAGCTTATTTCCAGCTACACTGAGACGATGCCACTCAAGTCAGAGACAGGCAACAGTTACTGTGAGCAGACGTTGAAAACACAACACAGAATGAGTCCAATTATAGAAATAAATGAGTGACGCTTGTTTACGTCTTCAACAGATGGATCACCTGGAGTTGTAATGAAAGACAAGGCCACCTATGCAGGTATTTTTCACTGATATTTTAGCTGAATTAATTAGATGATCAACAATTTTGATCATTGAAATGAGTCGATTCTGTCATTGCTTTGGCAAAAGTAGTGAAAAATGCAAAACACATTCTGATTCTGTTGCTTTAAATGAGATGAGATGCGAAGCTAATATTTGGGGGATTCAGACATTTGAATTTTTGATGTTAAATTAACTGATAAGGAAAATAACAGTTGATATTTACGTGATGATTGCTATTTTAGTGTTTAACTCTCGGCTCCGTCCTCAGAGATCCACAGGGACAGCGGCATGTTCGGAGGCGGTGGATTTTGCTGCTGCTCCGACTCGTGCTGCTCCTGGTGGAAGTGGCTGCTGGGTCTCCTCCTCCTCTCCCTGCTCCTGCTGGGACTCCTGTTCGGCCTCATCGCCCTGGGTAAGGCCGACTTATGCAACATTATGAGATTTACACTCACAGGGGGAAAAAAAAATAAAAACCTCCCTAAAGATAAAACCTTGGGAGGCTCCGGAGCTGCTCTGCCATGAAGTGTCTGGGAGGGACTGTTTTCGAACCAATAAAATGTGTGCTTCAGCTTTTATAGGGTAAAGATCATTATTTCACAGCGCCGCGAGACAATAAATGCACTCCTTCTCCCTGGAAATGTGATCTGAGGGTACTGTCCCTCTACATAAAGTCTGGCATTCATTGTCAGCAGAGCAGCTTTGGAAATTTTTGCTTGATGACATAAGAGATTCCAATGGTTTTCCCTGCAGCAAGAGAGTTGTTGGTGTTCTTTTATTCTGATAAAAACGTGATAGCAAGAAGAAGAACATTTGCAGTCATCTGTTTGGGATCTAAGTGTGCACAGATCACAACTTGTTGAGAAGTTACAGACTGATACACAAATATAGGGAAGTTATTTGGTGCTTAAGATCTTATAGTGTGCAGATATCCACTGTCTTCAAATTAGATTTTGCATTATTGTTAGTCTGTAGTGGGTTGAAGGTCACAACGCTGTTCGGTAATCTTTATAATTTATTTTTTTTGTTAGAATAATTTAGTGACACTCGTTAAGTTAAGTATGAGTTGAGTAATACCAAGTGTGTTAACTTGTGGGTCTTAAGTTTTTCAGACTGTGAAGCATTAGAGAGTAGAAAAGATGTGAGGGCTAATTCGTTGGGAAAAAAATCATACTCTTTCTAAGAATCCTACGCAAGATGAAGATTTAGCTTTATTTACACTTTCAAAGAACACTTGTCAATAATTTGTCATTATTTCCATCATGAAAATTTCCAAAAATCCCAAGATAGTGCAGAAAAAGAGCTTGTAACTCCAGACACAGCTTCAGATTCATCACATTTTTCAAGTTTTCTTCAGTGAGTATCTGTAAGTCCGCAGATAAATTGCAAAGAGGAACTGATAATAGCATTTTTTCACACATTTATTGCTGCTCATTTGTTAAACATAGGCTACAAACCAGACCTCAACTTTGACAGAGGAGAGCTCACACACTCTGATTCTGGTTTTTCCCAATAATGTGTCTGATGAAAGAAGTCGATTGTGTCGCTTCGACTTTTTAACTTTGGCTGATTTTGGCAGCACGTCGAGGCAAAAGGTTAGCAGCGATTTAACAGCAGAGCAGGACTGGAAGTGAAAAGAAGCTAGATAAAGGCAGTAGTGACTGGAAGGTTTCCAGTTTGATTCCCAGACATGAAGAATGCCTGATAGAGCAGCACTCGGTCCTCCTTAGTTACCATCACTGAGGATTTAAAGTGGTCCAACAGGCAGCAGGTCAGACTGTGGTTGGACTGAACATCTTCAGTCTGTGTGACTGCAAACAATAATACTGGTTAAATAAAGATGTTCTAAAAATGATATATCAATGAAAACAGTAGATATGTAGAGATTGTACTTTATACAAATATCATCAAATCAAAAGTTCTATTTTTTAAACTGTGGCTGCAACAAAAGACTATTTTCATTATGCGTTGCTCAACTGATTATATTTCAGATTAATTAAGTCTATAAAATATGAAATATTAGAAACAATAAGCAGCAAATTCTCATATTCAAGGAGCTGAAACCAGAAAATGTATGTTTTTGCTTTAAAAGTGACTAAAACTATTAATAGGTTAACACACTAGATACTAATTAATGGAATTAATATTTATTTCAGATCTAGTTTAGACATGCAGAATAACTGTAACTCTCACATTAACATAGTTTGAGCTACACATAATGAAATGGCAGCCTGCTTTTATTATATTTCTACTTTCTCCACTTTCTATTTATATATATGTTTTTGAGTCTAATACAGGTCTTTCGACGTTGTTTTTTAAAAACTACAATGTTTGTTCAGTCTTCATTAATAGTGATTTTTGAGATGACTTTAAAAAATAATCATCATTATTTATATGGTGTAATGTTTCCTATTAACTGCATACACATTTTATTTACACAAATACACCTTCTCCTATCAGAAGGTTGTCAAAGATATTTTCTGTCTTTCTGAAGCATTCTTGGAAATTCAGTCCGAGTGGTGTGTTCATGTGCTGTCTCTTAGAGAGGAAAAATGACTTCTGTAATCAGAGTTTACTTTGTGAATTGTGTGACTAAATGCAACACAATAGTAGTTTGCATAACATGACAGACGAAAATCACAAATGATTACTGACAGTGACAATCAGAATAACATGAAGATAATGTTGTGAAATGTTAGTCAAATTACTGATTTAAAACTTTTTATCACCACTTAAATGTGTGCAAATCTTAACTAATGTTGTGTTTTTTCTCAGCTGAGGACGTGAGAAAGCTGAAGAATCGAGTGGCGACGCTGGAGGCCGAGTCCTCGGTCACCGCTGCTCGCACCAGTCGACTGTCCGGTAACTCCAACGACATCAACACCTACGTTGTGGAAGGCGGAGGAGCCGGCGGCACCTCTGACAACACGCTGTACCTGGGAGCTGGTGGTACTGGTGGAGGATCAGGCTCCAGAACACGAATCGGGGTTGCTGCTGGTGCTGGTGGTGGCTCTGCTGGTACCAATGGCGTCGACATCAGCCTTGGAAGTGCCGGTGGTGGTACAGGTGCTGGTACTGCAGGTGCTGGTGCTGTTGCTGGTGGTGTTGCTGGTGGTACTTCTGGTGCCAGGGCTGGAGCTGCAGGCGCCGGTTCCAGTGGCGGTGCTGGTACCAGTTTCCATGGCAGTGCAGGCACCGGTGCTGGTACCAGTTTCCATGGCAGTGCAGGCACCGGTGCTGGTACCAGTTTCCATGGCGGCGTTGGCGCTGGTGAAAGCGGTACCAGCTTTAGCACCAGCACTGGCCTCGGGGCCGGTGTGGGCGGAGGACACGTGGACTCTGCTGCCCTTCAGATGACCATCCAGCACATGTTAAGATCCGAAATGCAGTCACAGACATTCAGAGGTACTGCACACACACACACACACACACACACACACACACACACACACACACACACAATGTTCACGTCCACTGAACTGTTCTTTTCTGCTATGCTCAGCTTTTCTAGCATCCTCGGTGCAGGGAGAGAGAGGACCACCTGGACCTAAAGGTGAAATATTAAAGTCATAAAACCTAAATGAGCACATTTTTCAGTTAATCACAATGAGCTGTGTTTAATTTATGCTTCTGTAAATTCTTTTCAGGGGACACTGGACCTAAAGGTCAGGAAACAAACACACTTCTTGATAGAAATATTCTTCAGTTATAATTCTGCTTCTGTCTCTAACCATAAATGTATTTCTGTGTTTCACTCGTCACAGGAGATCATGGTTTCCCTGGATCTCCAGGTGAGGAAGGATTGCTCACATTTTCTATACAGTAATTTATGTTTTTTTTTAGTTCTGTTGTGTGGGATCATGATGTCATTTTACTGACTGTGACCTTTGACCTCAGGTGCTCCGGGTATAATGGGTCACGCAGGTCCTGAGGGTCCCAAAGGACAGAAAGGAAGCACAGGTACAGAAACACTTCACTTCAAACTGCATAATGCAACTGTTGAGCTGATCAGAGTGAGTGAGTGTCTGTATGTTAAATGTCTGACCAGGTGATCACGGACAGGAGGGACAACAAGGTCTCAGGGGTCGTGAGGGCCCAGTTGGACCCAGGGGAGAGCCCGGACCTCCAGGGTTTGGACTTAAAGGTGAAAGAGGTACGAATCCACAGCAAGTGTTTTATTCATTCTCATAACTCGTTATTCATCTCCACTCAGAAACAATAAGATAACATAACATAGCATAACATAATCTAAATTCTGTTTGGTTGGTTGGTGTAGGTCCTACTGGAGAGCCTGGGGTTACTGGTCCTGTTGGACTTGCTGGTGCTCCCGGACCGAAAGGTGAGCTCAAGCTCCCTTTTGTTTATTTTTCCCATAATTAAGTGAACAAATGAGTTTATTGCCTCATAGTGTATGAGCTCCAGAGACCACCAGGTGGCAGCACAGAGCCAGTCTGTAGATACAGCTTTTGTTACTTCATCGGAATCGAAAGACTTTTGAGCACATGTGACTTAAAATGTTGTTCTGCTTAAATCACAATCACACAAACAGCATTAATAAATCCAGTAGAAACATTTCATAAAGCACTGTCTTTTCCTGCCATCAGTACTCATAAATAACAACCACAAGCGTATAATTAAACCTTTGTATTCTCATATTTGCCTACACAGTATATTATATTAATTGAATTTCCCTTCTGGGATGAATAAATAAAGTATTTTTTTTCATATTAACGTGTTAATAAGTACTCATACATGCCTCCTGATGCTAAAAATGTAGATGCTTATTGTTTTCAGTGCTATCTTGTTTTAAAAACACACATTAATGCATTTATTTATTTACCACTAATTACAATTTCATTTTCCCAAAGTGATGTGTTTCATTTGAGGATATTGTGACTTCATTCCGTTTCGGACTTTTAGGATAATTAAACATTTGTAAAACCTTTAAGCGTCAACATAATGTTAATTCAAACTATTGGCAGTTTCAATTCGATTTTATTTATTTACATACTTTTACATGATTAATAAGGTGTAAAAGCTGTCATAGCGGTTTTGTTAAACAGTGGTTTTCCTTCTAATAATTATTGATCTTCGCTGCAGGCTCAGCAGGAATTCCCGGGATCCCAGGCACACCAGGTGAGTGTCTTTCATTCCCGTAGAGCGATAGATTACATTATTTACTTTACCCACTTAGGTGAATATTATCTCCAATTTCCCAGCTTCAGATGAAAAAATACTGGCAGCCTTGACTTTATCGCTGGTGTTTTACAAGAACTGTTTTCTTGCAGGTCAACCAGGATCTCAGGGCTTCCGAGGCGAAGCAGGACCACCTGGACCTAAAGGTGAGCAGCACTGACATTACTCACTTTATAAATACAGGGGGTTACAAAAAGGTATTCACTAAAATGTCTACAAAGTCACTGAGAGTCTCTGTTGTCTCTCTGCAGGTGACAGAGGACTTGCTGGCTTCCAAGGAATGAAAGGTTTGTTGTAGCCGCGTCAGGTTTTTGCAGGATTTGTTGGGTCAGTAAATGTTTTTAACAACAGTTTAATTCACTTTTTATTTTAGGTGACGCTGGTGAGAGAGGTCCCACAGGTATCAAAGGTCAGCACAAGTTTGTGAATCCAACTGTATTTGTAGATGTCAGACGAGTACGTTACAGTGTGTAGTCTGCAGGAGTTTCCTAATCCAGTTGTTTCACTTCTTAGGTGATCCTGGTTTGCCAGGTCTGCATGGTGAGAAAGGATCTAAGGGATCAATGGGTGAGTAACAGGACCTAATGAGAAATTATATCATTAGTAAAGCATTGATTCTTTGACTCAGTTAAATGAAGGTGATGAGTGTGATCGTAACAAATGTTTTACCACCGACAGACACGGAAAAATCACCTAAAATTGTGTAGAATCGTTTTTATTACGTCTATAGGGTTATATAAACTAACTTTAGCGCTCATATGCTTTTATCCTATTTCTGAAATTCTATATTATATGAACCTATTGCAGCAAAACCAAGAGCATTAAATAATGTTGTCCATCACGGAGCTGCAGAATCTGCTCATGAAGCCTCTTCTGACTGTTCAGTATATTAGTAATGACGCAATATATAGATCTATATATGTGTAATATATTTCTCTGTTTTTTCTCATCAGGAATTTCTGGACAAGATGGATCAAGAGGTAAATCACTAGTTATAGAAGCAGTACAAATACACGTATTTAAACATTATTTTATTGCCATCACAATTCAAAGATATATGACGGTTAAGCTGAAATCTAAAGTCCACACATGAAGACAAAATCTTCAAAAGTTCTATTTTCATTGTTGGCCCTCAGGTGACCAAGGCCATGCTGGACCACCTGGACTCAGAGGTCCTGCTGGGCCTCCTGGAGATGCTGGACTTCCAGGTAAAGTTGCTCTTATGAAATATAGTCTTCTGCTACATTAACATTGTCATTAGTCGGTAATATGAGACGGTTTATTCATAATATCTCCCCCTTTTGTAGGAACACCTGGGCTTCAAGGACCACCAGGTACGACACCAACATATGCTGTAGTGTAGCATTGATTCCATGATATACCAGCTCTTTATCTGAAATGTTCTCCACACTAACAATGGACTTTCATGTTTGTAGGGATTGCAGGGAATCCAGGACGACCTGGCAGCAAAGGTACAACTACAGAAAAATGATAGGTCTCCTCTTTGTAAAATACAGTGTTTTTGTCTTGTTTATGTGAATCTCTTATCTGAGATGTGTGTGTCTGTTTAAGGTGACCCTGGTGAGGCAGGAAGAATCATCAATGCAGGTAACAGAACAGGACAAAACTGGTATTTTAACGCACTGTTGATGAGACTACAGGTTTGAGATCTGACCGTCACTTTTATTTTTCAGCTGGCTCCACCTCTGTTGGCATCCCAGGACCACCCGGGCCTGCTGGTCCCCCCGGCCCTGCAGGACCTCCAGGATTATCAGGTCCGTTTTCTGACATTTCACTGGAAAATTGTAGCAATAGCTGCCAAACAAAAAAGCAAAAAATTAAAGGGAAATATGAAATATCCTAATTAAAATTGAGGCCAAAAAAATAAAGCTGCAAATATTTTCAGTAAATGTTTTTCAGAGAAACACTGGTATTTTACAGATTTTTAAAAAACTATTAAAATTAAACAGCGTCCATAAACAGATAAACTAAACTAAACTTATTTTATAGATTTGGCCTAAATTATTCTGATCAAACACCTTTAATGAAGTGTTAACACATGCAAATTGTTAAATAACAGTCTCAATTTGAAAGACAAATCAAGTAAAATCTACTTTGATTCCAAAACTCTTGTGTTTAATTTATTTACATGAAAATTTAAAATCTTAACAATTTATTCACGAAGAATTTTGCAGAAAAAAGACTTTGGGTAACACCCAAAGTCTGCAGTGACACTATAAGACCAAGAGGGGGCGCAAGAAGGCACAAGTTTCCAACCAGAGCAGTGCATCTTTGTGCCATCTGAAATTGTTTTGTATTATGTTGGATGTATAAATCATGGTGTCCAAAAAAGTTTGCTTAATTTGTTCTTGAATTACAGAGTTTTAGTGATAGTACACATAAGTATGACAGTGATAAGATTTTCCTAAAATTATGAGGAACAATGTAAACTTGATAGTATGAACATAAACATTTACGTAACAAGCCACATACCTGACTACAGATAGTTAAATATTACAGAATATTCTAATTTTACGTAAACTTGTAACACAGCATAAGAAAGCAGCAAAAGTACTGTATAAATTATACAGTGAATTTTCTGTAAAAATGAAAGAAAGAAAGAAAGAAAGAAAGAAAGAAAGAAAGAAAGAAAGAAAGAAAAATACATGTAATAGTAGCATATTGCTTAAATTTAAAAAAACAACAACAATTAAGTATTAATATACAGATAATGTTTGTCATTTTACCGACTTTTGCATAGGATATATATATATTTTTATTATCCTTAACAAAACATTTCATTAAAATCAGGATTTTCTTTGACAAGGAGCTGCATGACCTCTCTGGCCTTTTGCACATCATGAATCTTATCCCTGCATGTACTCAAGATATTTATTTATTTATTGATGTACTTTCTCAGGTCCCATTGGCCCTGCTGGTCTTCCTGGCCAACCTGGTAGGTCTTTATGTTTCTCCCTTTTCCTTCAAAAATTGTGCTTTTGGGATTTAGAATGTCGTCCCCAGAGTCTCATACATGCTACGTTTTGTTTGTCTGCAGGTTCTAAGGGCGACAGAGGGTTCAAGGGAGACGCAGGAGAACCAGGAATATCAGTGAGCAGGAGTGAGAGAGTGAGCTCCAGCAGGGCAGAGAGTGAGTATTTCTGGCAATGATTTTCTTAAAGACATGCAGCGTTTAGAAGACGATAAGTAACATGATGGTGGCTAATACTAGAACCTTAGACAGATATTGCTGATGAACTGACAATCAGAAGCCCGTTTGTTGACTTCACTGTACGCTCTTCCTACTTGTGCTGCTGATACTCTGCATCCCTGTTGCGATTATCTTGTATTTCTCTGTTGTGGCCACAGTAACCTCTTACACAGGGTCAGTTTAACGTACAGTGAAATTTATTGTTTTTTTTTATACTTTTGTCCTCGTTGAACTGTCTCTACACCAGACTCAATCACTTAAAATTATATGTTTTTGTTTCTGCTTTAGGGCAGTTTGGTGCTAATGGAGGCGCCGCACTTCCTGGCCCACCCGGCCCACCAGGTCCACCCGGGCCCCCAGGCCAGCCAGGCAAGTATCTGCAAGTGGATCACACAGTGTTATTATGTGAAACCGATCCATTCTTCATATCAGACATTTTTAATCGTCTTTTTTGATTTGTAGGTTACGGAAGACCAGGACCTAAAGGAGACAAAGGAGACCCAGGCTTTTCATCCAGCTCTGGTATGATCCCAAATCTAAACTTGTGTTTTGTCTTTGGCTGAGTTCGATTTGGAATTAGCAGTAACACCACTGATTTATTCTTCCAGGATCATATTATCCTGGACCACCAGGACCACCCGGGCCTGCCGGGCCTAAGGGATCAGCAGGTGAGTAGATTTTGTGAAGTGGCCTGATCTCTGACTTCTATTAGAACTCTATCCTGACATTCTCCATCATTATTTCAGGTTCTCCTGGACCGAGGGGATACCAAGGTATTCGTCTTTCTTAATCTGTTTAAATCCTTTTTAAATCTTTTCGCAAACATTTGTGTCTCTTATATATCACTACACTTAGCCGAGAGTCTTTTCAGCATCGATAACTGTCATTTGTGTCTCAGGTGAACAAGGCCAGCCAGGTGTGCCAGGTAGTCCAGGAAGACCAGGAGTCTCTGAGACAGGTCAGTCCACCACTCAGTCCACATCATCACATTACAGTTGAATATATCAGAGAGCCACACTTGTTATAGCTTCAAGTGTTGCTGAGACAGAAGACTGATACTGTAAGATTTATTCTTTCATGCAGTGTCGAGTTATGGTGGAGGACGTGGGATCCCTGGACCACCAGGTCCACCAGGACCTCCAGGACTTCAAGGACCTATGGGACACAAAGGTAAACCTGACAACACTCTGAAATCTGTGAATAGTTTCAGTGTTTTATTGTCTGTGCTGTACATCAGCACAGTATCTGTCTGTGTGTGTCACATGATGATAATGCTTCTGTTGTTTATCGTTTCTAAGGGGACACTGGAGCTCCTGGGATTCCAGGCTCTTCAAGAGGTAGAGAAAATCATAACTGCTGCCATAAATACTCTCTGCAATTATACACACAGTCAAGTGTTTTCTTCTTGTAAAGGCACCAATAGTTCACAGTGGCTTTAAAGTTTGAGTGCGTTTGTCCTCTTCAGGCTCATAACTGCTATATTTTTCTCAGGCGGATCAGTCTCAGGTCCTCCTGGTCCTCCAGGTCCTCCTGGGCCTCCTGGCCTGCCAGGCTCCTTTGCTTCCTCTAATGACATGCGGCAATACGTTACTGACTATCTAGGTAAGACGTCTGTAATTGACATCACTTCAGGTCAGTCAGTGCTGGGAGACAGAACAGATATTAACCTGTTTCATTTGGTCCATGCAGGTAGAATGAGTCAGAGTGGTATCCCTGGACCTCCAGGTCCACCTGGACCTCCAGGAATCCCTGGAACCTTCTCAGGCTCTATGGAGGACATCTCTGCCCGCATCATTGCATACCTGCGACGTAAGGCTTTGTATTACTCGTAGTATCAGTAATATGTACATGTGGGACATCATTTATAGATTGGGGTTACCTTTGACTGTTTTGTGTAATTTCAGGTTCAGATTCTGGCTTCAGCTTTGGCGGTCAGGGTCCTCCAGGACCACCTGGTCCTCCTGGACCTAGCTCCGGATCCTTCACAGTCAATGCTCTCATCACCATGCTTCAGAGTGAGTCCGGTGTATATTTTTGCTGAGCAGTGAAGTCTCATAAACATATATTCAAATCATTTTACTGCACAGGAGCCCACTGCGTCATTCAGCTCCTCATCATCATCATCATCTCATTTGAGTGTGAAAAAAAAATGTTTTAAGAGGTTGCCCTGGACTAAACAATGTGTCTCTGCTGTGATCTTACCAGGAGATGATGTGAGAAGATATTTGTCTGGACCACCTGGGCCACAAGGACCACAAGGACCACAAGGGCCACCAGGGCAGCCAGGAGCATCTGGGGCATCTGGGGCATCAGGTGGACATTCAGGAAATTACAGAGTAGAAGAAGTAGCCCAATATGTCATCAACATCATAAATGGTAAGCACACTGTTGCAACAGCAAACAGATACCTTGAAACAATATCTGGACTTCAGTCAATCACTTTATTTCTGCTTTCAGAGAGAGGGCTTACTAGAGGGCCACCTGGGCCACAAGGTCCTCGTGGGCTTCCTGGGCCTCCTGGTGCTGGAGGCTCTGGCTTCAGTACCGCTACGATCGACTATTCTGCACTGATGAGAAGTAAGATTATTTTAGTATTTTTTCTCATTAACAGACACTAACTATGATTCACTTGGAGAGTACAAAAAATAATTCCATGCTCGTGATTTGGATTTTTATCTGCTTGCGTCATTTTTTTGCTTATTAACTATGAAGAACATATTCTCCGAAAACTGTGAATTGCTTTTAAAAGGTCCCTCTCTCATCGTCTTTCTCATATATTCATCTATTTAGATGCAGACTTCCGCTCATGGATGAACTCTAATGTACAACAAGGTCCTCCTGGTCCTCCGGGAACTCCAGGCCGAGCTGGCCCTGCTGGCCCTCCTGGCCCTCAGGGGCCACCAGGAGTGTCCAGTTCCACTGTGTATGGGTCTGGAGGTCATGGCTACAGCATGGAGGACATTCAGCGTTACCTGCAAAGTGAGTCTGGCAGAGAGGGTGACATTAATGTATAAACTGATGTAGGCTGACTGTCATTCTGAATTCAGAAGGTGTGTTCTGTTTGTCTCAGCTGTAACCAATGTGCCAAAAAATGATGTTTAAGCATTAAAAATCACAGATAATACTCTTTGTTACAAGATTCACATAGCAAGATAATGTCATATCAAGTAAAGGACACAATGAAACAGTTTGGCATGACAAAGGATTTCATATCAACTCTTAAATCAAATGTTCTTACATTACAATCATCAAATCTGCGCTGTCAACCACAGGTTCCAGTCCTGTTTACTGATGTGTTTCCTATAGATCTAAATGCAGATGTCACTTTAGTCACTGTTCCTATTGAAACACTAGCTAGTTAAACAGTTTTTGAGACTGAAGCTCCTGCCATCTGTGCCGCAAAAACAAACCCTCTTTCAAAGTCACTTGGTGCTTTTCCTCTTTCAAATTCTGAATTCACTCGGCCCGCTCAGCATTGTTAAATACCTCACGATTGGATGTTACTGCTTAAATGTACTATTTATTGCATCTGTGTGAAAACATCTGCATTCGTTGTGTTTCTTCACTCATTTATTCAGGTGCTTCCTACAACCTGTCTGTATTTTAGAAGAAGTCTATTAACTGAAGCTTCACATGAATGACTTCAAGTCTCATTTCTCATTTAAGCCTCATCGGCTTAAAATGCCAAACTTAGAAATGCCCGTTGACAGTTGTTCATTTGTCTGCTCCTTATTTTTTGCTGCTTACATAAATGGGATTGCACAAAGTTTCCTAATCTTGCTCTGCACTCTTTCCCAGATTCTGGCTTCAGAGGTCTTCCTGGCCCTCCTGGTCCTCAGGGTCCACAGGGACCGCAGGGTCCACCAGGTGGTTTCTCTGGATCGGTTTCTTATGGTGGAAACTTCCCTCGGGAGAGCATCCGCGCTGAAGTTCAGGAGTATCTGACCAGTAAGCTTCTAACATCCCACACAGACTGATGCACAAAGACACGCGATCAAATGTGGAGAATCTGTACACATGTGTAATACCGAAGTATAGACATCACAGATGAATTACATTTTTTAGGTGACAACATCCGCCGGGCCATCGTCGGGCCTCCAGGGCCTCAGGGTCCAAGGGGTCAGAAGGGAGAACGTGGAGAACGTGGAGAGCCGGGTTACATCCAGGGCTACACACAGGGCCAGAGCTACGCTCAGATTGACCCTCGCTACGGCTCCGGCCGAAGAGACCTTGATGTCAGCAAGCTCACAGAGACTCTGGACTACTCCAGTGTCGCCATGAAAGTTACTGACTACATCAAGAGTGAGTAGATTACAGCTGCCGAACGTAGAGGTTTTTTTCATCCCTCATCATTTGTTTAACTTTATTTGGTAGATTTGCTTCATGTTTTGGAACTCCAACTCCTATGATGCATTGCTACTCATTCAGTGAATTAGCTGTTTGGATCAGAGCTGATATTTAATGTACTGGTGGCAGCTAGGAGTTTTTCCTTGATACAGTTGATACGGCGAATTTTACTTTAGTCAGGGAGAGAGAGAGAGATGTGATGCAAAAATACTGTGTGAGGTAAATGTGAGTCAAATCTTAACACAAAGACATGAAATACAGTCATCTCTCTGAGGATGTCATTATCTCAGGTGCTATGGAAAAGAATGTGAATGAAGAAAATCAGATATCAGAGAGTAAAAGACGCTGCTTTTAAATCCAGAGAATCATCACGTTTTTAGGTTTCCTTCAGTGTGAATAACGATTATTACCCCAGTTCAAGTAGTTGGGTATACTTTGAATTGTGCCAGTTTGCAAAAATCTTCACAAAAAAATGTGCTGTGACACTCCATGGTGACATTATACTTTCTGATTGCATCCACAAGAACCCATAAAAGTACAACTTAAAGCATGTTTTTATATCTATACGTATTTAAAATAATCAATCATAGCAAACTAGGAGTGA